TTCAGATAATGAGAATACTTAAACTTATCACGTAGAAGTTGTTATTTTGATCTAACACCAAATTCTCATACCTAATTTACAAGGAAATATCTTGTATGGCCAGAGGGGAGAATTGAAAATCAGATCTTGGGAGTTAGTGGTACTTCTCTATGTGAAAACCTGTGACCTTCTGGATGGGAGACTTCCTAGAGAAGCAAACTTAAAAGATTTCTCCTTCAAATCTAACAGGTTAGCCAACTTTTGCTTTCTAACCAATTGTTTGTTTTGCAGAAAAAAATTCTAGTCTTGGGAATCATCATGCCAGTGGGTTATTTAGTATAATTATATTATAATAAGTTCTATACCTTGACATTTCAAATCAAGTTACCTTTTGCATTTGCTTATGGTAATTGGTACTTGTTCCTTTTTGAAAATTAAATTCATAATTGTTTTTTCAGGTCTGAAACAAAATACCTTACAGTCTTCCACAAGGCAGACTGGGCTAGCTCCATGAAGGCTTCTCTCTTGTAGAAAGTCAAGGAACTGCAATAAAATAATGCATGGAATCAGGTCCTTGTAAAGCAAATCAACCCCCAAAAATCACAGTGATCCAACTTACATTTATCATGTTTTACAAGAAAAGGAGCATAGTCAATGCTATAAATGAAATTTTAGCATCACAAAAACCATTTTGATGAAAGCTTCCTTATCAGTGTCTCTATACCTCTGCAGAATCATTAAAAAGTTCATCTTCGCCTTCTCCTGGTGGTCTGTTTTTCATCACTTCTACAATCTCCTTATCTGAGCTGTCCTCAGGAATGGAAAATTGTCGGTCAATGTACTTCAAACGAATGAAATTTTGCCTTTCCTCCCTGCAAAGAATCAAAGTAAGTTGTATACTGCTATGATGACAGCGAAACCTGTAAAAAGCAAACATTCCCAGTACCCCTGCTGGTGCATACATTTAAAAGGTGTCCATCTCACACATGTCTTAGGGTGAAGTGTTCTCCAGAGATTTTTCAGTAGCCATGCATCCATAAGAAAACTCTAGCGAGCAAAGGTGAAAATTCATCTTTGATCGAGACAGGTATTTTATCACTGTTAAATCAAATTAAAGTAACCTACATTCAAGAAGAGAGAGGCCCATGAAAAGGCCCCCTGCTGAATGCTTCTGGAGAGCTCAGAGTGTACTGTGTCATTATAATAACAAGCTTAACTTTTAAGTCTGCACAGTATCATTGTGTGGCACTGATTTCTTGTTCATTGTTCTTCTTTTTTGACAGTAACCAATCAAATTTACCACCTCAAGTAACATTGCCTAAAATCTCTTGAAATTCAAGAAAATTCAACACTTTGAAGAAGAGTTCTACCATTTTGAAATTTTCTTCAACCTGTTGTGCTTGAAATAAGTGAGAACACTAAAATCTTGTTTGAATTTGAGCATTTTCTTCTTTTGTGTACGATAATTATTCTTCAAATATAACTTACTTTGCACAATCTCTTGTGGGTTTCTGATATTCTCCAAGCTTGCCTTCAGATATCCTATTCACTTTACTGTTACCCATTCCTTCCATAAACTAAAAAAAAGAAAAACAGAAAAAAAAAAAAAAAGCAACAATTAATTTAGACAACCATTAGTTTAGTACATCTGTAATACAAGAGTATACAATAGAATCACATCATTGAATAAAATCTCACATTGATTAGTTATCAAAGTGAGGTATTTAGCATGGAATCACAAGGTGAAAAGGAGGCTAAGTGATATTGTTTCACATCTAGTATACATAACAAGTATGGGTAATGCTGTTTACCTTTTTTTTCTTATTTTGATTCAATTATGCGATTTAAGGAAAATCCATAACTTGACTCGTGAATTCTGCACTAAATTGCACTTGAAAACTGATATCACACTCATCACTTCACCATTTGACTGTGCAATATTGGTTTTTGTGTGGTGCAATTAAATGCAGAATTCCCTTATCAAGTAATGAATTTTCCCATATAATCTCATTATAGTTTCTTCCATGTGGGGGTTTTAGTTACTGTACTAAATTTAAATTTGTGAATGACACACCACAGGCAAGTGATTTCAAATTGATATGTACAAGTCTCCTCCCACCACTAATATGGCTTATTCCACAATTTAAATGCATAGAGATCAGACAAATAGTTAACCAGGTTAAGTGGGTGCACATTTTGACACAGTGATCTTAAAATATGAACTTCTCATGAATGGAGATTGAGGGCCATGCTTGGGAATGTTGGCCCAAGGTTGTGGCACTGTGGAGCGAGCGAGGTTAGTGTGTACCAGTAGTTTACTATATGCCACTCAGACCAAACTTCTTAATTTCCCATTTGCTGTCATCGGGAGGAAAAATACATGGCCATCACCATTTCTGTGGAAACAGTCCATACAGCAAAATACAGACCAAGTACAAACCAATCAGGACTACCTAACCATGTAATAAATTTCATTTACTATGAACCTATACCTTAACAGTTTGCTCCTCCCATTTGTCTAACGTCAGTGATCTTACTTTAGACACTTGCACTCCCAGGCTACGATGAATTCCAGAACATTCGATGCAAACTAAGATTCCAAGGTTTATACTTGCCCAGTCTGGTCCTAAAAAGAGAAAAAAAAATTTAATAGGAATTGGCTTTTAATTTGTTATTTTTCATTGACCAGAGGAAAGGTTAAAAGACTCACAACTTGTTTTGAAAAGGGAATTGAATCAATTATCAAATCACTTCACTTCATTTGAACAAAATCAGGAGTTTTCACATAAACATTTCTTTTACATCATTCACTTCACAACCACAGTTTGAAATTTTGCCTTAAACATGGTTGTTATTGAAGCTGGTAGGTCAGGCAGAAACCTGCTCGCTGTCAGACCTTTTTTGAATTGTGATCAAAGAATGCACTCTTGTATCAATATTCAAACATGTCCCAGAATGCTGGAAAACATGTCTTAAATATTTCCAGGGAAACATACCCCAAACCCCTATAGAAGGGCATGTTGCAATGCTAGCACAATTCATTTCAGCCACCCAATCAGTTCAGACCATGCATCAGATTCTATTACATTTTCTAATGCCAATCCTACTTGAATTTTCAAATAGCTTAGTAAAGTTTCCAAGCTACCCTAAATCTTCTTGAAACACATTTTGTATCAGTAAGGTTGAGAAAATTTTTCTTTCACATTTCCCACACAGTTTTCCTCAGTCATCTAATTACAATATACAAAAATGGTAAAAGGAGGGGATAAAAATTGGTCATCAGATTAAGTTAATGATACTCCATACTTGGTGTTGAGCAGTCTGCACAGTATGAGTTTCCATCTACTTTTCTTATTCGCTGTGATGCATCAAGTGCATATACTTTCTTCGTATTGGCTGACTGGCTAGATCTGTCTACTTGTGATCTGGCAAGAGACTGATGGAAGAAAAATAGACTACTGGTTGAATATCATGTAGAAATTTCAGTTGATGTTCTACTGTGAAGGTGTAGTCTGATCGTCCAGGTGAGTGTAGTCCTGAGAAGGACTGTTGTCGGTGGCAGTGACTGACATTTCGACAACCTGTGCAGAAGTCATCATCAGAGTCAAGTGAATGATTGTTGTCAGTAGAATGTTCTTATTCCAGTTCGTGGAATAAGAACACGAACTGGAATAAGAACATTCTACTGACAAAAATCATTCACTTGACTCTGATGATGACTTCCGCACAGGTCGTCGAAACGTGAGTCACTACCACCGACAACAGTCCTTCTCAGGACTACACTCACCCAGACGATCAGACTACACCTTCACATGTTACCCCCGGGTTCAAGCCATTTACTGCATGATGTTCTACTGTATTGTCAGGAAAATTTGCAACTGCAGAGATAAATAATTTTTCCCTTACAGCCAAATATCACACAGCTTATATAATGGCAAAACTGACCAATCAGAATAACCCTCATTCTTTTGGCATGTAATTCTTAGCTGTAAAAAACTCCTCTTTTGACCCTGATGATGGCTTATACTCAGGTTGATGAAAGAAATGTTGGTTAATGTGGCTGGCAACAGTCCTCCTTAGGACTACAGACTACATGACCATCCATTATTCTTTGGTTCAAACCATTATGTTACTAGTTTAACAAGTACTGCTTGTATTTACCTGTAATTTTGCTTTTGAATTTCTTAATGCATCAGCAGTTGCTTTCTGGTGGGAAAAAAATGGACAAAAAGTAAAAATTAAAAAAAAATTGATAAAAAACAATAGCTAAACAATACTATTATACAGCTGCTATAATTATATAGCTATACAAATCCTGTGTTCTGATTGGCCACCTGAGCAGGCAAAATGGGCCAGGATTGAGCAGTTTGATCCTGAGCAAGAAAAAAATGCTTGGTGCAAACTTACAAAGTTGGTTATTTTTGGACAATGGAGGTGATGAAATTGCACAATGTGGCAGAAAACTGTCAAAACAAGGGAAACATAGACAAATCTTGTGGGTTTATTGTGCTTAATTAACTAACACAGTTGGCTTTCTGTCCTAGCTCTTGAAAGAAACAAGTCATTCTTGATTCTTATTAAAGCAAAATCTTTTTGGTGTATAATAAATATTTTATTGACCAAGCTTCTTTGGTCAAAAAGGCTGGACACTAGCCTCCTTAGGACCACAAAAAGGCAGAAAAGAATTTGGCCGAGAACCAGCCACCCTGACCTCACACACTGGGTCAATGACTCATACATCAATTAATTACAGGCTCAAGTGCAATTGATCTGTATTATGCCTTCTGCAATTTCCCCCTTTGCCTCAGACACAACCATCCAATAAGCGTATTCAACTTGAGCTTGTAAAAATGAGTTGCATTAATATCACACAAATTAAAAGAAAACCCTGGGATGTGAGAGAATAAAACTAATCTCGATCAAATGTTTTTATTAATAAATATCATTTGAAAATGTAAGATAACATTGACTTGCCTGAATGGCTGTTACCCACTCTTGTACTTCTTGATCTGTTACTGCCTGGAATATTCTTTCACTACTTGGAGAAATGAGCTGCAGAGACAAAAAAAAAATCAGGAGAAATACAGAATGTTTTCTTTTTACAAAAAGGAAAAACCTTTTTAAATAAGTCACATAAATTATTAGTCACCTGAAAACAGTTATTTCTGTCAGCATCTCCTGCAGTACAAAACTTTACTGTACAAAGAATCAGATTTTCCATAACTGATGGACTGATCTGCTCTTGACCTTGGGCCAACAGCCTTCCATCTTTTTGGTCTACAATAAAGTACTGATAAAGGATGAAAAACTTAGTGTGGGAGCAATTAAAACTTACTAATTATCTCTGCTACAGTATTTGCGACATGTACATGCTATATACACATCATAAACACTGCTCCTTACCTAATGGACCTAAAATTCATTCACTCACTCCATTCTATCTATTAGAAAATCATTTTTATGCATTAAAACCTGAATTAAATTCTTTATCCCCAGCCTCCCCTTCTAGGTTTGTTTCTGTCCCCAGAGTCATGGGATTTAACCTCTCTTTTTGTGACACAATCACCTTGTGAGCTATTTTCACACCTGGTTTGGTTGCATGGATCTTCTTAGAGTAGTCAGAATTTTATCATACGTTTTGATTTTATTACTTTTTGGGGCACAAGTTGAATTTTCAGCATCACTTTAGCCATCAATCAAAATTAGAAGGGTCAAATTTTTCACCACTTCATTGAATAATTATAACAAACCATCAGATAGCTCCAAGGAGCCTTTGATTTGGTCTAAAGTCTATAATTGTTTTGGTAACAAATGTTGATCAATACTTTTGTGCAGAATAAAACACTCCTACCAGGAGTGGCCATCTTGATTTGGGAAAGCCTTTCTGTTTTATCCTAAGATAACCTCTTTTACATTGCTCCCATCCATGTGAAGAGGTAACTTGAGTTCCTTCTCCTGTTGATACTCTGAAATAAAGACATTTGGAAAAATTAATTTAAAAAAAAAAAAAACATATCATAGGACAGTTTAGCTTTGAATTCTTAGTGATGATACACTTTATTACAAAACCATTAAGTAAATACATACTACTTTACTCTAAAGGCAGGGCTGGTGTGGCATGAGATTTTGAAGGTGTGCATACAGTGTGGAAATTGGGAGTGCCAAAGGCTGTCCCCAAACTAGAGGGGTCTGAGGGCATGCTCCCCCAGAAAATTTTGAAATTTATGGTCTTGGAAATGCCATTTCCAACTACTGGTATTTCTGCGGAACTTTTTGATAACTAAATGCAACAGAAAAGTCAGTCATTAGTTAGTTATTTTACCCATCTCTGGAGTTTTCAGTAACCTACAACAAAATGGGGGTAAAAAAGATACTAGAAAAACAAACACACTCGCCAGTATAATTCGAAATTTAAAAATCCGTCCTATTTTATGGTAACTGTGACAAATGCTATAAGGGAATAAAAAATTTTTTTTTTCTTCCATATTTCAGCTGAACACACAAGCATATGTGTGTAAATGGAAGCTACGCCCCTGAAAGGGTGGAAGTTTCTGAAAAGAAATTTTGGTGCTGCGTCAGTGGGGCCTTACAAGATAATTTGGTTTAATCAACTGAGTTGATAAATGAATGTAAATTGGCCACCAAAGAGAGTTTCTACAACTGATGTTTCAAGCATTATAGCTCTAATGAATGCTAAATTGCTTCAAATGTCAGCCTTAGAAATTCTCTATGAGTGGAGGGCCACTTTACTTTATGAACTCAGTTGAATTAAAACCAACTTATCTTACTTTATTCTACTTAACACATCAAGTGACTTTTAATCAGCATTAAAGTGGCTCTGTCCTTACTTGACAGTTCTTGGTCCATCTCCTTGTGTTTGCTCTGCATTGTTGTCCTGTGGTGTGACTTCAGAACTTGGACTGAGAAGATCATCTGGTACAACTTTAATGACTTTATCTTGAGCATCATCGGTACCTAACATGCAAATTAAGAGAACAATTACTGTCTTCTGGGATGCAATACTAAATATTAACGTACAGGCCCGTACAGGCCTGATTTTTTTCAGGTCTGATTTTCGCTATTGCATAAATAGAGCTATCTACTGCGAAGGATCGTGCATCATATGTATTTAATACCGCAGTTCAAAATATATGAACTTCATATATATTCATTGCATCTGATTTATCGTCACGGGTTTATTAAGAATCAACTTAACGGCCTGCTCCCAGTTGGCTTGTTAGCTCAATTGGTAGAGCGCTGCACTAGTATTGCAGAGGTCAGTGGTTCGAATCCTGTACAGGCCTGATTTTTTTCAGGTCTGATTTTCGCTATTGCATAAATAGCGCTATCTACTGCAAAGGATCGTGCATCATACGTATTTAATACAGCAGTTCAAAATATATGAACTTCATATATATTCATTGCAACTAAATATTAAGTATTTCCTAGATAAACTTCAATCAGCAAATTTTTGAGTAGTGGAAGCCCTTTAGCCATGCAGCTACTGGGAACCATTTACACTCTTAATGAAAAGAAGAGCTACTGATGAAAGTGTCTAACTTGCCACAGAATGCAGCGAGAGACAGTTGCCTTATGGTAACTAAGTTGGACTCCGGCCTAATTAAAAGGTCTGTATGCTCTCCAGCCATGGCCAAAGTCACTGTGTTGGGTTCTTACACAAGATACTTAACCAAGAACACAATGTGATGACTTTGGCTACTAGCTTAAACCTAGCCAAGCAGATGTAACAAAATTATTTCTGTTCAATATTTCTTAATATTATTATATGGCTGTGTCTCACAAGGACTGGGAACTACCGAATTCACGAATTTGATTGGCTGAAATCAATATTGAAAGCGATCTAGATTTTCCCATCTGGAACAGCATCAAGACCGGTCTAGAAAAAAAAGGCAAAAAGAATATAAAAAAACTGGCACATAAGACACAGCCATATACCGAGCTAGGTCGGTCTGTATGGGAGAATCTTGACCTTGTTCGGTCTGTACTGGCGACCTCGGTCAAGATTCTCCCATACAGACCTCCCACTCCGTTACTAAGAACTAAATACAGAAAATCTGTCCAGTAACAAGTCTCTTAGCCAGGATGAAAGATGCCATCACACCAGCCACAAATTTTTTACGAGTATTTAACAATTCTTTAAAAATTTAATGTATTTAGCTTCATAACCATCTCTTAATCTTAAACTAGCAGCAATGTACTGCAGTACAGCTGTTCAGATTTCCATTGAACAAGGACAGCTTATAGAATGTCAGTGAGGTAAATTGGTACTAAAGATGTAGGTAAGACAACTAACACTACAACACATTTTCAGAAATTAGCAAACAAAAAGCCTGTTATCAGTCAATTAACTATATGGACTCTCCACATATCAATCATCAAAAAATGGAGTTTACCTACCAAGTTAAAGATAAACAACCTTAGAAAGCACTCATAGCTTATATTCTTGTACAAACCTTCAGGACTAGTTGAGGAGTTCTCCTTTTTCTTGGCAGGGGAGGATGGCAGACTAGATGGTCGTTCAGGTTGGGGTTTTCCCTCTGAAGATGACGACACATCACCCTTTCTGGTGACTTGTGGAGATGAAGATAGCTTAGGTTTTTCAACTACCTCCCACTCCTGATCCTAAAACAAGTTAAACACCAAAGGCAGATGAATGAGTCTCTAGTCAGAGAAAAACGTGAAATCTACATGCTTTTCCCAATTACTCGTATTCTTGCAAGTGGAAGTGGCAATTCATGAATACAAACAATCAAAAAGTTCCAAGTGAACTAAATGGCTTGTATTGCAAGGACCCTCACAAAAATCTCAGAGCATGTATTTCAGAAGAAGAGGAAAGAAGGAGAGAATCTCCCATACCTGACGTGGGTGATCCTTGCCAGATTTCTTGGATCCTGGAAGACAAAATTTCTGATCAATAATTTAACATGCTCTTAGAAAATTCAAGATGCAAAGATTCACGTCACATGGAAAGGTTCATAACTGAAGGACGGTTTAGCTGTTTGAAACTATAGAGAGTTCACACAGCTGTACAACAAGCTTACTCAGAATTGTTTAATTCCTTGTATGACAAAATAATTTGAATTAACAAAAAGTTAGACAAGGATTCAAGCATATTAACACAGGGAGCACAAAATAAATGAATCTCAATCAGCATCAAATTGCAGTATTCATGATGGTCACGCCCTTAGCAAAGAAGATGGCGCAGTCTGTAGGACAGGGAATGTAACATTTCATTTTGAACGTAAATAAATTTCAACATAAATCAGAAAGATAATAACAATAACAATTACAAAGATTATGGGGAGCAAGAAAAGAGAAGTTTATTACACCTGCCATTATACTACCTTGAATCAAATCCCCAATTCTGTTGAAGAATTTTCCTGCTTGTGCATTCACAGTGTTGACAGAATGGCCCAATGCTGCAGACCTAAAATGAATACACATCAAAGATAAGAGTATCACTAAATTTTTTGCACTCTTTTGTTAGTGAATTATCACACCACCAACTGTTGAATGTAGCAAGTCTTTTTGAAAGTAAATCACAACTTCTCCATATTGAGTCACCCAATTTAGTCTAAATGCATGCTAAAACATGCAAAGGTTTGGAAAATTGAGATACAAACTTACACTAACTTATGGAGCTGTGAGTTTGGATTTAGCAATCTGAACTAATATAACGTACTGCATAAAATAACTAAGGTTGTAATTACCCAAGAACAGTAGTCTGTGGCTCTGCAAAGGACTGAGCATCCTTCTGATATAGAGAGAGAATATCTGCCTCACTTGCTGCCTGAATATCCTCATCATTTTGCAGATTTTCCTGGAGAGAGTAACTCATGCAGTTATCAAATTTGATTGATTTTACCTCATTGACCCTAATGCTTCCATGAGTACATGATTAGGTATTTCTACTCTCAATTTCAACATGTTTAAACCAGTTGCAGATGATAACCACAATGAAAAGAATACCAAGAGGTTTTTGCTTAATTCACAGGGAATGCTTGATTCAAAGTCAAATTTTCAGAACAAACACTGTAATAGATTTCTGCCAGATAGTGATGAGAATCAAGATCTTGTCGGTGATAAATATCTGGCAGTAGGACACATTAATTTTATCAAGATGCATAACATGAACAGTTTTCTGTTGCTCTAGTTCCAATTAAATTTGTAATCAGCTTACACCAACAGAGTCCAGATTTCATGAACAACGATCCCAGATTAGAGTTTCTGTCAGTCCAACTTACCTCTAGTCTGGCATGTGTGTTTTGCAGTTCTTTGAAAAGATCATTCATATATGGCTCTACATCTTTCAATGTCTGTAAGAAAAAGTTTCCTCAGAATAATATATTGCTGCAGTCTACATGCATGTATCAAAATTTGTTATAAAGAACAAAAACCAGTACTTGCTTTAAAATAAAAACACTCAGTAGTATACACTTAAGAGCAGTCACAAGTTTATTTGCAATGCCATACCTGGTATGCAAAATTGAAGAAAGAAAACTGGGCAAGCATGTGCTCTAGAACTTTTTGAAGAATAATCACCTGTAAAATCCAAAACAAACCAAAACAAATCTTAAAACTTAAAAAAAATTGAAAAATACTGACTGACACAATTTATGTAAATATTATCACAAATAGCTGTTACAAGTGCATTTACTTCTATACCAACACACTCCACATTATTTAATCCCTAAAAGTATATTTTTCATCTTTTTACTAAATTTATGAAAACAATTATTATTGCCCCTACAGGGTCTTGGTCCACAAGCCATAACCCAAGGAGGCATCATAGGAGTCCACATGTTAATATTATTAAGACTCCTAGAGGTCTTGACAGTATGGACCAAGCGCAGCGAGGTCCGTACAAAAAAGACCGAGGGCCGATATTCTTCCAGTACGCTCCCGAGCAAGCTTGGTTAATAAGAGATTTATTATACAGCTGAAGTTCAAAGGGACACAAGTGCGGTATCATTCGGGACCATTCGGGACAGTGCCCGGTCCAATACTTAAAGAATATTGGACTGGCAATAGAGCATTTTGATTGGTTGATTTTAGTTATTGGCCCTCCGACTGGCCGAGTCATGTAATATGAAGATGATATGATGTATTCAGAGATTATCTACCTGATGAAATCTCAGTTGATCACAGTTACTAACAAGAGGAAGCTTTGATACACAGACTTGAAATTATTAGTCCTAAATATTGATTACTTGGGGCACAAGATCAACAGACTCTATAATAAAAAAAGAATTCACAGATTCGAACTACTACCAGCATTCTGCATGCAGGAGCACCTTTAGTGATAACTATTACTAACTATAAATAGATGTTGCATGTGCATCCACCGCTACACTAACACATTCACACATTCCAAGTTACCTGATCCGTAAAAGCATATTTTCAATCAACCTTATTGCTCAAGATGCATTATACTTACAACATGCTGGTTACCAGTAGTAATAATTTCTTCTAACATGTTTGAAATCACCCTAGTGTCAAACGTACCAAGCTTACCTTCTTTAAAGTGTGAATATCTCTAAGTGTTGACACATACTTGAGCAGAATTCGCTGGTAGTTATGTCTGGCATGTAGCACACCATGAGCAAGGCGGTCGACTACACTGGGCTGCAAAAGAAATTATGTCACGTGTATTCATTTTCTGTTTATCACCATGAATTATTGTTTCATATGTTTCATATGACAGAGACTAGAATAATGTAGGTTCTGCCAGCTGGCTGAATTCCTCATATAAACAAAGTTATTACCTCATACAAACTATAAGCAGACTTCAAAGATTGTTTTCTCTCAAGAAATGGTCAGTATGATCCACTCTTTTATGGATCAAAACAAGGCCAAACAAGAGGCTGCACTACTGGCTTTAACTTGGGTGTCCAAAATGGAATAAAGCACCAGTTATGAACATTTGTATGTAACACGAGTATATTAGCCATAACACCATTTGTCACATCTGTGACCATGTCAAGCTTTTTTTTTAAAAGTACTGTCTATCCTTAAAGGCTTTGACCATCAATGAAGGAGATAAGATTGTGCCTTGTTTGCTATTGAGGGCTGAAAATGGCTTATTCACATCCCTTATGGCCATGCAATTTTCAGATTGTTGGAGCCTGATAGTAATTAAGTGCCTGTGCAGAAACAATGGAAGAGCCCTTTTGGAAGATATTGGATGAATGCACGACAATTCCAAACTTTAGATTTTCCACAGGAAGCCCACATAAAAAGTAATCTTAGTTGTGAATATTCCATACCTCTTGCAAATTGCTGAGGTGTGCAAGGCTGGAATACTTTTCCCAAGCAACGTGCAATGCATCTCTGGCTTTTTGCATTTGAGACTGAAGGTCCTAAAATCAACAATTACATCCCAGGGTATATATTATTTTAGTACCTGAGCGAAACAAAAACAAGGGAAGGTCACTAAAGACCAGGGGCCCGTTTCTCGAAAGTAGTGAGAACTTAACGGACCCTTAAAGCTGTTCTGTTTTCATTCAAGATGGGGATTTCAAAAGTTTTGAAAACGATACAATAAAACTATCAGCTAAAGAAACAAAAAGGACTGGTTTGAGTGCCCGAAGCTGCTTTGAATTCCCATCCTTTAAATTTTGATTTTAAAACATGGCTTTGGGCCTGTTAAGTTACTGGGACTTTCGAGAAACGGGCCCCTGGTTATAGGTTGTGCAAAGCCATCACAAGTGTTTTGTAATGGACAGTGTGAGTTTGGAAGTAAGTGGCACTCCATCCACATTTAACTGAAGAATTAGAGAAATAGTGGGAATCAGTAAAGTATGAATTCAAAGTTGCGCTTAATTGTGTAAACTGCCGTATATTTTACAAGGATTTCCAGCTCTAAGTAAAGCTGTAACTGTATCAGTGTAAAATTAAGATAACTTTTTATTGTGTGATTGTTATTGTCTATTAGCTGTTGACAAGTCGCTCATCTTTCACGTCACTCTGTCAGGTTGATGAATGAATGGCAAAGCTACCTTTACATTATTCTCTATTTAACACGCTTACACCATTTAAGGTTACTGTACACCTTCAGGGGTGTCTCGCATGTAAGCGATGTAGCGCGTCCGGTTTAAACTGTAGATATCTAAACCCCATATCAAATTAAAGCTTATAGGACTGGCTATCAGACTATACCAAAATTTTTTTAAAAAAATGAATTGTTGAATTTTTCACGACTTCTAAATGTGAGCAGCCGAATCACCTTTTGAATGTTACATGTTAAAGCGAATTTTGTTTTTTGCTTAATATTTAACATGTTCCTCTGTTTCTGGGGCCAAAGCGCTAAAAAAATGCGTCTGTGATTTGCCATATCCAATTTCAGCGAAACGTTACAGAACATTTTTGAAATAGGATTAAAAAAATGTGGAGTGATCATACAAAAATTGCTCTTGAAAAAAAAGTATTTAAAAATAAAAAATTCGGAGACATATTTTTGTTGTTTATAAGTAAAACTAGCTACTGTCAAAATTTGAGAGCAATCGAACAAATTCCCTTTGACTTGTAGCTCTTAAAAGGTGATTCAGGCGCTCACATTTAGAAGTTGTGAAAAATTTGACAATTAATTTTTTTTGGTATAGTCTGATAGCTAGTCCAATAAGCTATAATTTGATATAGGGGTTTAGATATCTACAGTTTAAACCGGATGCGCTACATCGCTCGCACGCGAGACACCCCTGAAGGTGCACGGTAACCTTAAAGCAAAGTGCTTTGCAAGATTTTGAGCAATACATTTCTGGATGAATTATCCTCCTACCTTAGCTTTCTCAAATTCCTTGGTAAGAGCTGCTAATGGTTGTAGAGTCAGGATCTGTGTTTGACTCAGGAACATTTCCTTGTAGCATTCTATTCTTTGCAGCATGTCTGCAAACTGTCCAATGATGTGTTCATACTTCTCAATAATCATTAGTTTGGCATATATTTTTACTTTCAACTCCCAGAAGTGATTGATGAAATCCATACATTATCGACAAACACACATCAGTCTGTATAGTCAGTTATAACTTACCACAAAGCAAACATTATTGAACTACCGGTACTTGCTGAATCATCAGTGATATTACCTTTATTATTGGTTCACTGATGTCTTTATCATTTTCTACTGACTTGGCAACATCTACCAGTGCACTACCAAACCCAGCTGCTGCTTTACTGTGCTGCATTCCAGTACTGAAGTATGATTCCACAGAGGTAGTGAGTTTTGAAAGAGCTGGGCTCACCTGATACATAAATGAACACCAGATGTAATTTAAACCCCAGGATAACTGCATAATAGAAGAACAAAAGAAAGCATCTCTTTTATCCTTTGCCCTACAGATTTAGTGGTTCTGTGCATGCTTTGAAGCTACAAGCTTAACCCTTAAACTTCCAGAAGTAATTAACATGTAATTTCTCCCTATAATATCTATACATTATTTAATTTATTAGATTTGCTGACAGGCGGGGGCACCATGACAGCTTGCGCCAATTACTGTGGGCCCAGTAAACCTACCCATCTAGTACCCTAGGGGAAGACATCCACCACACAGTAATCTCGTGCGTGGGATTAATTAACGTCTCCTACCCCTAACCCTACAGGAGACAAGGCCTATGGTTTTCTTTGTCCTTATCCGAGAATACTAGAATATCTATCCATTTCTTGATATTATAGAAAGGTAGCAAATTCTCCTCAGTTATTTTAAGACCTTGAGTGTTGGTCTGGCTGGGGCTTGACAGGTTTTTACTGTCTGTTGACCTATCAATCTGGCCCTGGTTGTTCGAAGGATGGATAACGCTATACACTGGATAAATCTCTATCCGGTGGATAGCGCAGTACATTTTGGTAACACTTATCCGCTGGATAGTGATTTATCCATTGGATAGCGTTATCTGCCCTTTGAACAACCGGAGCCTGGTATTTTACCACAACAGGCAATAATGTTGCAATCTGATTGGACAATTTGCTGTTATCAATAAGAGTACAGACAATACTGCTCGTATCAACATGTCACACAACTATCAAAGCTTGTTATGGACTCACGAGGCTGTACATTTTGACCAATGTGATGATGAATGTTGTTGCTGATAAAGAGTAGAGACCACATTCTCATTGCTAATTTTCAAGGAAATAAATATTATATAGTAGCAAGAGGAGAGAATTAACAATCAGATCTCTGCAATTAAAAGCTGGGGTTAAGATTCAAATTCTAAAATTGACTGTGTCAAACCCCACTCCTTTCCGAGCTTTGCCACTCAGAGCTCTACCCCTCTGTCTTAAAGCCAAATGGCATATAAATTATGGTATATTAGTGTTCAAGAATCCATTTCTCAAAGATTCTGGTGACAGATTGTGCTGAAAATTCTATTTTTGTTTGCTGTGTTTTCATTCAGGATCAGCATATAACTGGTAACAGTTTTAAAATTTAATCAATTCAAATAGAAAAAAAAATAGAAAAGGCTGGTTCTTCAGCAAGGACCCACACCATCAATAACATGCAAAGTTAAACATATTGCTTCAGGGCCACAAAGAAACTAAGACTCTTCAGAAGCAGGCCTCAGTTTGTGCTGCACTAAGTGATAAGCTGGCATTTATACCAACAATTTTTCTGAGGAACTATTTCTAACGTAATCGTTTGATAGATTTGATATTTCAAAGCTGACATTTCAAGAAATTGAACCTACTAGACGATTTATTGGTTATAGTTCACTAATGCCTCAGAATTATATTTTAAATTGTAGTTCTTCATACATTTTTGGAAATATGGTTAAAAAATAAAGAGGAAACTGTCAGTAATAGACTTGGCAAATTCATTAAATCTGACTATCTCTATATATTATGTTAAGAGCGAGATTGGCTGTTTAAATTGGGCTAATTAAGAGATTATAAGGTTCTAAATGGAACACCTAGGTAGGATTTTATTACCCCCGAGAGCAGTGGGGTGCAAGAGTTTTCCGTAATAAACAGCAAATAACATACTGCAAATGTCATCGTAAAAGAATGGTGACTTCTTAAACTTTTATTACCGGGTTAATTTAAAAACAAAAGACTATTATATAATATGACTTGATATGTTTGAGGATATATTATTAGCGACTGTAAGGAAGTTATACTGACATTTCATTAAAGAAGTGGTGCTCATGCTTTTGTCAACACGTAAAATCTCACGAAATGGCAACTGAGGCCGAGAAACATTCAATAAAGTACGACAGACTCGAATTCGGCGATGCGTCGTGACAAAAAAACTAGAAGTCGCATAATAATTAGAGTCAAAAGTTTGATCATAGTTTGTGGTATGTTATTAAATCCAAAAGGGAAGAAATTACGTTTCACGCCAAAGAAAAGGCAGAGAATTGACGCAGAAATCTAAGACTCGGTTAATTCCTTACCTCAGCAGCCCGATCAGTCCAGTATTTCAGCGATTGATGACAAGTTGGACTATCATCCAAAACAAATTCGTAGACAGGGAGGTCAGGCACTGAGGCCTCGTAATGGTTGTCGTAAAACGTCATGAGCAATCGTCCAGGATTTTTCGCTAAAATTGACTCGTAACCCTTCACAAGAAGTTGTTATAACACCGCCGAACAATGCAAATTAGGGTTGAAATTTATTTTTTTACACCTATATATCTCTGGCCAACCCCATTTTCCGACATCAAAACAGCTTAGGAGCTTGGCCAGGTTGTGGCCTAGAGCCTAAGAGCATCATGGGATTTCTTAAAAAAAAAAAAAAAATTGCCGGGAAAAGAGGGTACCAGGGTGACGAAGATTAATTTGCACGCTCATAGGAGAAGCGAGGGAGGGGAGCCTGAGGGAACTCGTACTCCTATGGTGTTTGGGTAAAATGAAAAAAATAAATAAATAAATAAAAAAAAAGACAACGCGAGTTAAAAAAGGTAAACATGGATTCATAATTTCCTTTGCTTTTGGCTCCGCTCACTTCAAATTTCGTCGTTACCGGGCCTGTATTAGACGAATTCAAGAGAAAATCATTTTCGAACTGCCTTTTTTTCGGGCAAATTAGTACTATCTAAACTACATGAGGCTGAAAAAGACAACATTTCAATTCAATTCCTAATTGCATTCATTTGGGAGTGGGGATTGAGGTATAGAAGAACCCTCAAAACCGCAGGAAAAAAATCATCCAAACCCGAGAATCCCAATCCCCCCTCATTGGGTGACACGCAGAACTTGCTCGTGAAACGCCTCGAGGTGCGTTTTCCTTAAAAGGCATGTAAGTGACTATTACGTTATCACTACGTCATAAACGCAAACGCAAACATTTTTCTCAGTAACGGTTAATACCCATTAACTTTCGACTGCAAAACTACTTTAATCTAGCAACAAAACGGACTGGGAAATATTTAGCGAAGGAAATGGCAGCTTTTTTCAAAAGGAATCAACAGAGCGAAAGTCAATTTACAAAGGAAGGAATGAGAAGGAACGAGATTGAGTTTCAGTTTAGGGAGAAGGCGTGGTTTCTACACGGAAACAGGTCGGAATTCAAGAGAACAGATGAGTTGATTTTTTTCCTTCTGTGAGGTAGAAATTCGACCAGCACTTTTTTTTATTTCTGAAAACCTTGAAAATGTTGCTTCTAAAACTAGCTCCATGAAAGAAAAGGGAAAAGTTAGCGGGTATTAAAAAGTGAGAGTTATTAAGGTATTAAAAGTGAGAGTTTATAATTGGTAAATGCGCACATGCGCTCATGGGAGTTCTAAATGTCTTTCTTTGATTGCATCCATAGAGGGCACCACGAAAAAGTGGATGCTAGTAAAAAGAGAAACTATTGGTAAAATATATTTAACGATAGCTTAAGTCATCAGGGGTTCGAATGGTTAAAAAAAAATTCTTAAATACGTCGATCAAACTTACATTCTTGGTCACCGCGCAATGCTCCCGGGTGGAGTTTATTGGCTACCCAGCTTATCAAATGGCGTTGTTTAGTTCTTCATGAAGGGTTGTTTCAAGGAATGACCAAGTTAAGATTGATCTTGTTATTACCTTGGACTGATCACGAATGACGAAGCTAGTTGGTGCGAAACCATGGCTTCCAAGTTAGCCTCTTTTTTCAGGCTTAAGATGTTAAAACGGAGCGCAAGAGTAAAATTAAAGTATAATGGTGGCGACAGAAGTAGACTAAAGGAAAAAGCAGAAGGTCTGGGCTGGGTCGAAAAACGGAGGGAAAAAAGGTCGGGTAGCGTAAGGACCCTACGCGCTACGACCCAAACCTCTCTCCTTTTTTCGACCTGAACTAAAGCCTCCTGCCTTTTTCGCTCCCCTGATGTTATCGTGTGCTCGTTGTTTTACCAAACGAATGCCAGGAACAGTCTACTTTCAAGTGTTTTTGCGTTGACTATAGTCTTGTATTCTTAAACTTTCATTATTCAGGGATTTTTTGTCAAAAAAATGAGAGAAGGAAACATCTTCTGCGAAGTGAATATTCTTCTTGTACAAGTTCGAATCCTTTTCGAAACTTTGTAGCCCCTCTGAACGTACTGTAATTCCCAGGTTAACGCGGTTGAATAGAGTGCGAACTTGAACATGCGCAGTAACGCGATTGTAAATGGCGGAGGCCCCCCTGCGAAGGGGAATGATGGTCATGGGCCGCATTGCAAGCATTTTGCCAACACGACGGACCAAATCCGCCATAACGGTGGAGCGACTTGAAGTGGGGTGGATATGGTTTCACAAAGTAAATTTTCTTCGAATATGCGGCGAGAACAGACCAGGTGACCACGGGTAAGCATTGTTTTGTGTCGCCTTCTTTCTCACACATATTTCACCGGAATTTTCGTTTGTTTTCCGTACGTTAGCCTGTCTCTTGTTTTACATTCGGACAAAGGAGTCTTTTTGAAAGGTATCGTTTAGTTTCCTTTTGAAAGGTGTGTTATTGCTCGACTTACTCGCACAGCTAGTTACTCAGAGGCACAATGTGGCACTGTTTCCCAAGTAAGCTCTGTTCCTGATTGCTTTTCAATCGTAATCTCAGGACAACTTTCAGGAACTCCACACACGTTTGATCACGAGAAACGAAAGTTAATGGAAAATCTGAAGCGTATTTTACGATGTGATCGCCTCCTTCCGAAGTTCGCCTCTACATTAAATCCATAACTCTGTTCTACATGTCATCATTTTCAGGTTTTACCTGGCTTTGTTTCCATGGCATCCCCCCAATCATCCCTGGCACCCCCTCTCCATGTGCAACACTTGGAGAAAGCTCTCCGTTTGGATCCTTTCCTCAGTTACTTAGAGGGCGTCTTCAGAGATCCCTACTTGTCAACCATAAGGTAGTAGTTGTGTTCTAATAAACTTAAAGTTGGGAGTAACTGTTTTACGGGTAAATGTAACTTGGCAGAGTGTGAAATAAAATAGGCAGAAGTGCAAAAGGTGAGGAAGACAAGGTAATGTTTTGACTCAAATGATGAGGCTTTGTTTGATCGTAAAAGGAAATGCTCGTATTAATTCAGGGTTTGTAACGGATGGTTACACATCAACCTGATTAACTGTGATAAATTCAATTCTTGCGGTAGAATGAGAATTGAATGTAAGCCACTCCAAAGTGCTTATTTACACACCCTGGTTGTAAATTTTTATCTGATATTAACATTTGCTAGGCAGATTTTCTCTGTGAAAGTAGCACTCATCATTCTCTCATCAAAGTTTGTTTTCACTGTGTAATTGGATCAGCTATATTATGGTACAAAATGCTAAATTGCAGGAAGATTTCATGTTTAATTTTGACGTTCAAAAGATGGGATGAAAAGTGAATTGTTAGGGTGTACCTGTAATATAAATGTAAACCTGCTTGTATTCTGTACAAAACCCACTCCACAGATATACCAAGCTTTTTTAATATATCAGTTCTGTAAAATGCCCAACAATTGTTCAAAATGTGTGCTAGAAAATAAGGTATCTATGTGTAAAGGTACTTTGTGCAAAGGTATCTTTGTGCAAAGGTACTGCAATAAAAAGGCTGGTTTCCTAGGGAGCCAAGAACAGGACTTAAAACTTAGGAAAAGATATGTTAATTAATATAAACTTGAATTAAAAAAGATGATGAATTATTACCAGTATATGACTTGCAGTGCCCGTGTGCAATATGAAGCAAATTCAGTGTACTGCTTGGCTACCCCTGCTGGCAAGATAGGGCCTATCTTGCCTGCATGGGATTGCCCTCTTTAATCTTGTTAAGAAAAAAAAACATATGGAGTGGACTCACCAAGATTATAATTTTTATAAAAAATGTTGTCAACAGAATTCCAAAAATTCCTAATCACATCATTTTTCAATGTACCAAATTTGAAACAAGCTTGTAACATCGCTTTTTGACTTTCTTTCCCTGTACTTGAAAACAAACAAGTCATTCTTGGTTCATACTAAAGCAAGATCCTTTTGCTTGTATCCCTTTGCTTTTTTCAGTCAAGATGGCTGGATATCAACTTTAGTCTTTTTTTTTTTGTCTGTTTTTATGGATTTTGCTCTGTATAAAAATGCAAAAAAGAATTTGGCAAATATCCAGCCATCTTGACGGCCAGCTTGGTCATTAATATAATATATTAGAATCATTACAACGCTAGTACATAATCTACATCCTATGAGGTTAAAAGTTCTTGACTTTCTTGGTCATTGAAGTTGGCTTGACAGTTGGGGCAATATGTGTACGTGTGCTGGCGGGACTGGTTGTTTTATTTATAGCAGGAGTTAACATGTTGTGTTCTTGGGAAAGGTATCACTCTCTTGCAGTACCTATTTCTTTATAGCTGGTAGTAAAATGGTTTGAAGTTGCTACTCCTATTGTAATACTTGCAACAGAAGTAGCAATTTTCTTAGTTGCTAAAGTAATAATAGGAGTAGCATTACTCTTAGTAGCAGTAGCAGTATTTGGGAGTAGCAATACTCCAAGTTGCAATAATTGCAATAAGAGTAGCAACACTCCTAGTTGCCGTAGCAATAAGAGGAGTGGCAATACTCCAAGTCACAATAGTTGCAATAAAGGTAGCAATACTCCTCATTACCATAGCAGTAAAAGGAGTATCGATACTCCAAGTTGTAATAGTTACAATAAAGTTAGCAATACTTCCATTTCCCATAGCAATAATAGGAGTGGCAATCTTCCTAGTCACAATGGCATTAATAGTTGCAATAGCAATATTAGGAATAGCAATACTCTCAGAGGCAACAGTAGTAATATGAGGAGCACTACTGAAAGTCATTCCATGGCATGGAAACTGGTATGAGCCATGACAGTGTGAGCCAGTTGCCTTGTGTACAAGAATGCTTCTTTCTGTTTGCTGTAAAACCAGTGTGACAGAAGTGAACTTGCAAGATCCAACATCTTTTTGAAACTATTCAAAAAATTATATTTGTAAAGATGGCTTTGGGTACTACACAATTTCCTTTTGTAATGGTAAACTTGTGAGACAAAACTTGAATTCTGAGATTTTTGAAGAGGTTTTTAGTATCCAAGAAGATTAAATCCACTGTTTCTTTGGTCTTCATGATAATCTCCACAATATTCTTGCTCCCTCAGTGACGATGAAAGTGAGCTAAGTGATAATGAAAAGGAACTGTCCTCCAAAGGTAACAGTCTCTTAAATGGTACTGGCAATGGATTGACAGTAAATGGATGTTTGAGTCGGGATGGTGAGTTACTCCTTTGTTTGAGACCTTGTGGTGTAAACTTGAAGGTTGCTAAGTTCTCTAAACACTGGAAGATTACACTACTGAACGTAAAAGGAACTCCACCTCACATAATTATCTCATCTCTAAAACGTTAGCGAGTTTTATAGCATTCATGGACACTTTGAAAGTTTCTTTACCAATTTTACACTTTGAAAACTGTGCTTGTTTATAAATAGATGAAATTGTTTTAACCAAGCTGATTTGTTTTGTTATATTTAGAGCTGCGAATTGATAAAACAAGATTGTACAACTTCAGCAAAGTGAAGAAAGATAGGAGATGGTTGAAGGTACTGTTCAACTTCTGATTATTTTTTTTTTTGGTTTATCGAGCACTCTATCCCTTTTTAGCAGCCCCCATTTGGTAGAAGCTGTTGGGAGGTCGTACACCTGGATATATCTTGGAAACAACTTTGGGGTTTAAACCCTTTCACTGCCTTTAGTGATTTGGATAAAATTTCTCCCAACAATATCAAGCAGACAAGTGATGATAATGAAAAATATCAGTAAGGGGGTTGGAAATAGATACCAAATGCTCAGAACTAAATTGATCGTAAGAATTTATTGGCAGACAGTAAAGAGAATTACTAATGAGGTTTTGGGAGCAAGAGGGTGAAAAGTCCTGAAAATTTTAATCATGGAACAAATTTCTTGTTGGCTCAAATTTCTGTGGTTTTTGTGTAATACTCATTATTACCCACAATTAGCAGCCAAACCAAAGGAAAAGTTGAAATGCTAGTGGGGATAAATGCAAAATGCAATATATAGTATTGAAGAAAAGTACATAAGAATGTTGTTGTTACTCAAGATGTAAACATCCATCTTTCAGGGTTCATACGNATGAGGATGATGAGGCACCATTGACAGAAGAAGATCTTCAGGAGATGCTTTGGTTTCACAAGCAGCAAAAAGTTGCCCAACAGATGTACCATGTTGACAAAGATGTAAGTTGTTTTGATGGACATTATTTGGTGTACACTCACTATCCAAGCTCTCTTTTTTTAACACAGATGTTCTAGTTAGTTGAGATTAATCACATATACTGCCCAGTTATCTTCGTAGGTGACATTTTCTTTTCCACTGTTACCAGCTTTCAAGATACCAGCATTACAGTGCAAGCTTGCTGTCAGATCAGGACAAGTACTACGATTATCAGAAACAAGCTGGCTCAAAGAAGCACAAAAGAAAGAAGTTGAAAAATGGTATGCACATTTAACACAAGATACTAAATGGCGTTAATCCTTTACACCTCAACATCCGTTTCCATGTTCTCCTTACATTTCCTTTCATACTGAAAAGGATAATTCCTTTAACAATCAAATATTCTTAGATTTGTAGTCCTTATATTTATTCTCATTACATGAGAATAAGCAAAGTAAACGGGGAGCATTTTCTACCTTCAATTAAGAACTGTTTATGTCATTGAAATTTAACAAGAGAATTCTGAGTCAAAGCTAGAGAATTCTCCAATCTGTGAGGCGTGATGAACACCCTGTTTTCATCAAATACCTTGTATAATGTAGTTCCCCTGTGTTGTGTTGCTTTCCTTGCATAACTTCCTCTCCGATCACAAGAATCAGTTTGCAGCAAAAATTTCAGTCATCTAAAACTGCACAGGGTGGTACCTGCAGAACACAGATTACTGCCAATCTGCAGAATAAATCCCTTTTAAGAATTCCAAGCTGCACGATATATTCTGCTCTATCCAGTGAGGAAACGGGAGATTAATCAATTCAGACCAACCTGTCGAGCAGTGGAAGTGATTTATTTTTTGTACTTACCCCTGACAGATTTAATGTCCATCACTGCTGATTTTTCAATAGACTAATGATCTATATGCTGTAGGTAAGGTAAAGCTTTCAAAGGAAAAGAAGGAAAAGGATAAAGTGAAAGTTAAAAAGAAAAATAGGAATTCTGATGATCTGGTAAGTTTGAGGCCAAAAGTAATGGAAAAACTATTTTTCCGTCCTGAAGGGAAAAAATTGAGTTGCTTTGTACTACTGTGCTCTGCAAACAAAGGCCCTCAGTTGTTCTGAAAGTTAAGTATTGATGTTTCTCCTCTTCTTGGATGTCCTCCTCTGGGCATGTGCTTAATTTATTTTCACTAAGTTGCAGTTGATTAACCACCATGGTTGTCCTCCTCTGGGCATGTGCTTAATTTAGTTTCACTAAGTTGTAGTTGACTAACCGCCTTCTGGTTAGCTCAATGGATAGAGCGCTGGACTGTTGTGCGGGAGGTCGAGGGTTCAAGCCCCGGCCGGACCAACACTCAGGGTCTTAAAATAATTGAGAAGAATATGCTACCTTTCTATAACATCAAGAAGTGTTTAGATATTCTAGTCTTCCTGGATAGGGATGAATAAATGGAGGTCCAGTCTCCTGCAGGGTTAGGGGCAGGAGACTTTAATTTCCCACTCACGAGATTACTGTGTGATGGATGTCCTCCCCTGGGGTGAGATGGGTGGTTAACAGGACCCCCGTTGATACCAGTGTTTACTACACTGAAGGGGCTATCCTGTATAAATACAGATGTCTACTTCTACATTGGGTGCAATGTTTATGAGCAAGTCAAAGCAAATTGTGGTAGCAAGAAGGGGTTCCTATCTCCTAGTCACTTATCTAGGAAGATCAGAGTCCAGCACTGAGGTGGAATTGTCCGTCAACAGCCTGTAGATTTTGTGTTAAAAACTCTAATTGAAGACATCTCTGTTGATAGGATGATGATCAGAGGCCACTGACAATAGAAGAAAAACTTATCAAAAGAACTCTAATACGTCGCAAGGAAGCTGATGCTAAACGACGGAAGCTGTGGGCTTTGATAGTCAGGAAGGAGATACCCAGGGTATGCAAGCTAATTTGGCTTATTTGCTTTTGTTTGCTGTGTTTGCATTATTTTTGTTTATTAACTTGAATTGTGTTGGCTGCTGTTTCTTTAGGCTCATAGACAAAAGTCTTCTGCGAGGAACAACATGCTTCAAAACTGCAAAAAGGTGAGGTGATATTGCCATACCTGTGGTTGAATAAGACCATGAAAAAGTTTTTTCTCTTGTTGTGTCAAGAAGTCAGAGTTGACAAAAAGGGTACGGTACTGGTAATTTTGCAAATCATGACAAGAGTGACCAAAATTTCATTCTGATATGGCTAGAGTACTTCTAAGTTACCTTTAGATACATGTACCTTGAACTTTTGGTTGCAGCTTGCCCAGCTCTGCCAGAAAGAGATGCGCAAAGAAGCACAAAGATCTCAGAAGGTTACTCAACAGACTGCTCCAAAGGCCAGGAGGCTCTCAAGAGAGGTAGATTTATGGGGGGCTTTGTCAAAATGAAACAATTTATATTCTTAAGGGACTCAATTGAAACTTTCTGTGACAAGATCTTTCAATTCATGTTGTAAGTGTATTTACAGATCAACTGATCTGAATTATAATTGTATTTGATAATTGTGATAATATTCCTTGTGTTAGATGCTAGTTTATTGGAGGAAATATGAGAAAGTTGAGAAAGAACACAGGAAAAGGGCAGAGAAGGAAGCTCAGGAACAACGGAAGCTGGATGATGAGTTCAGAGAGGTACCAAATTATTGCTCAATTTTTCAAACGGAACTAAAAGAACACTTCCCTGGTTGCAAGCACAACTTGAAATTGACTTGTACATTGTTACCTTTCAGAATCTCAAATTGTGTCTGTCTCGCTGATGGGTTAAAGAAATTTATTATTTTATTTTATTATTGTTAATTTTAAATACTAAACATTGAAAGTGAGGAAGTATTAACTTTGGATCTTAAGAATACATTTACATGACTCTTTTTTGTCTTCTAAAATACTAATGTGTTCTTCATTCATTTTGAAGTGTTTATGATTGTTAAAAAATCTTTTGACTTGATCTTGTAGGTACGCAGACAGCAGCGGAAATTGAATTTTTTGATCACACAGACAGAGTTATATGCTCATTTCATGAGCAAAAAATTAAAGGGTAGGTATACTCTTTTAACCAACCAAGTTTTGGCAAAAGTTTACTCTGCCATGACATTGTTGATTTAAAAATTTTAAGCATGGTTGGAACTGTTTCAGCTACCATTTGGACACGCCATGCAGTGGAATTCTTGGCAGCACCCCCTATATTAGCCAGCTGTCCCAAATACCAGACCTTTACTTCATTTCAACACTGATTTAAGTTGAAAACTGTTTGATCGAGTTTTGTTTATAAATTGAGAAGCCAAGAGCAGTGCCAAGATAGCAAGGCCTCATGCAGCCAGCTTCCTACCCTGATATCTGATAATTTGATCTTTGCTAAATGTTGAAGCACCCTCTATGGCGTAGTCCTAAAAAAGAAGTGTTCGCTTAATGCTTTGTTCCAAACCATTTCTAGGTTCACAGCCTGATGAAGGCACTCAGGAGATTTTGAGAAAACTGGAAGAACCATCAGCTAAACAGAGTGTGAAGACAGTCTTAGGTGGAGTGCTCATTGATATGGAGAATGCTGATACATATGGTGAGAAAACTGTGCAACAGTAGAGGAGTTTACACTCATTTTTTATTGCATCATGTACATATTCACATAGTTTATGGCAATGGCAAGGTGATAGAATCATGCCTGCAATTTTGCATGTGTGCAATTGAAACATCCAATTTTCATGGGAAATCACTAGTATTTGGTTTTCTCTCAAAGGATTATTGACTTTTTGTGATATCATGTTTTCAATATTGGATTGCATGCAAATGTTGTTGTTCTTGTTTTTTTTTTTTTGTAACTACTGATTGACCTGATTTAACCAAGAGAAAAAAAAACAAATAATTTGTGATATGAGGGTTAGGATTTTGGTTACTTACACTTTTACTGAGCAATGGAGTATTGGACAGTATAGTAGGAATTGTGGGGTAATCACTTCATCCATCTCTAATATCTTGTTATGATAATTTTTCAGATGCTGATGAAATGAAGTCTCAAGCTCTGTCAAATGCTCAGAGAGCTATTCAAGATCAAGAAGCCAGGGTATGTTTCTTAATTGGCAGTTGCATCTTTATACTCAGACAGATGTCATTATATAACTTTGTGATAAGAATGCAGATATAAGGCTTGATGTCTTCATTATAATGGGATTTTGTTTTTGCTTTTTGTTTCAGACAAAAGATTTTGATGTTAATTTCCAACAAGAATCTGGTAAAAAGGTTTCAATGTCACAAGCATTTTGTAAGTCTGTTGTGGTTTTTTTCCATACATGCTCTGTTTTTGTAGTACATGTGTATTTTTTCTGTTTTTTTTTTTTTTTAAGGGGTGGGGGTATCAGAGGTGGTTAAAATAAAGATATTCATATCCAAATTTTGGAAGTATAAAGTTACATGTATCAGAAAAAAGAGATAAGATGGTAATCCGTAATCAAGGATAAGAGATAATAGTAATCCCCGGACTGTTGTTCCACAGCTTAGATAATGTCTTCACACCAGACTACTTGTAGCTGCTAAGTGCATATCCAAGTTTCCGCTACTTAAAGAGATAAGAAGTTTTGCAAATCCCATGTTGGATTCAAGTTCATGGCAGGTTACCTGCCAGCATTGTGCAGCACACCTGTCAGTTTTTTTTTTTACCCATTTATGCTTGTGAGTGACATAAGACAAGATAGGAGTCAAGTGTTTTGCACAAGACCACAGGACACTAATCCCCATCAGGGCTTGTATTCAGTCCTTCTAGTTCAGCGTCCAGCACTTAGGACTCAGTTGTTCCAAGAGTGGATAACACTATCCAACAGATAAATTACTACCCTGGGGTAGGTGTTGACAAGACAAATTGGGCTATCCACTGGATAGCTCTTTACCCAGTGAAAAGTGTTATCTGCCCTCTGAATAACTATCTCCCACAGCTTAGGACTGCATCATTATCTGATTATATGGTTCATGGTCCACTTCCTTTTTTTGGCGTAGGAAATAAAACAGTACAAGTTGAGTGTAAGATTGGAGTGTCCAGTTACTATAATTGAAAAATCTCATCTTACACTTAGTGTTTAAGCTATGACCATCTGCTGACTCCAATTAGCTTTTCCAGTGCCCTACCACTGTGTTATGCAAGTACTTTGGTAGGTAAACCAGTGCATTAGATTCATGACTCTCATTCACTTCTTTTTTTTTCCTCTGTAGTTGACCAGAGTTATAGCTTAGCAGACCCCTCAATTAATATGGATGAAGCTCATCCACAACCCACAGTCTTTGAAGGAGAACTTAAATCATACCAGCTTAAGGTAAACAGCAGTTCTCTTACAAATTCTGAGTTTTAAATTTATGGTATTTTTATTTGCCTGCTTATTTGAGTAATAATCACAAATAGTTCTCCTTTTGTGAGAAGGAGAGAATTAATTTTCATGAAATCATGGGATGAATTCAAGAAAGGCCTGCTCTCTTCTACATTAAAATCAGAACTAAAGGATTCTCAAAGGTGCTTTGTTGCAGGTTGTGTGTTAAATTGAAATTATTGTGAAAATCAATAGGATTATACAGTATTTCTAGCAATGCATGTGGGGATGCAAAAAATTTTGAACAGAATGTGTAGGATTAATGGCATGTGGCTTTGCTGGTTTCCAGTTTATGGATGGGTTGTACCAAAACATCTACTTGAAACATTTCTCTGAAAAGAATTTTAATATTCTTTTTGAACAACAACAAAAAAAATTGAGCTTATAGATCTGACACTAATGGCTTCCAAAACTTTGTTACATAAACTTATTAATTTAAAAAGGAATTTTCTTGCTAACTGATTTGATTATTTTATTTTTATTTTTTATGATTATTATAAGTTAGTGTAGTTTGAAGAAGTCCGATGACAATTTAAATTTTTTTGCGCTGCAGGGAATGAACTGGCTTATCAACTTGTATGAACAAGTATGTACCTGCCTCATTTAATTCTGATTTTTTAGACCTACTTGAGCAATCGATAGTGTTGTTTCTTTGTTATGCAAGACTAACTTGCTTGTTCTGGTTCATCTGGCAGGGTATTAATGGGATTCTAGCTGATGAGATGGGTTTGGGAAAGACAGTTCAGTCCATAGCCTTTCTCTCTTATCTAGCAGAGGTGAGTTTCATTGTGCACAAAAAATAGATAAAACAGTGAACTTCCTCTGTAGTTCTGAGTTGAATAGGATGTGAATATCTGATATTTTTACTCCTTGAAATGATTGAAATATGAATACACCTCATTTGATGGTTTAACATAATTTTATGATTCACACAGATATCTTTCGAGTTAATATCTTCCTAGCCCTACAGGGACAACATGAACATTGAGGAAAAAGTTCCATTATATGTTTAACCATTATTTCAACACGATTTTTTTTTTCTAGTATTTTGGCTTGTAGTTTTTGAAATATGTATCTTATAGTCTAAGTGAGCTTGGTTATGATCAAATAATGGCCCTTGTGAAAGACAAAATAACACAAAGGAAACCATTGGAGTGTTTTATAAGAAACAAAAAAAAATTAATGTGATATACTTAAAAGTTTGTTGCTTTAAAAGTCAAGACCTAAAAACTGGAAGAAATGCCACCCTGTTCTTCAGTGAAATACTGTGGCATATTTTGCATGTTCCGATGCCCTAGTATGGTATAATGATGTTGTCTTGGCAGGGGTTTCATTATTTTTATCAGCAGGAGGGCAACTGGTTTTCACAGGTGGGCAAAACTTTTTGAACGGAACTTCTCTATAAGATAAACTTTCCCTCAGATCGTCAAACCAGGTGGGCAAAACCATCCTCACAACTGGTCAATTTGCCTGGTGCCCAGGCCCTTAATGAAACCCCAGTAGGGGAATAACAATTTAAGTCATGACTTAGAATATGGTCATTTTTGATTATATCTCTAGACACATAATATTTGGGGTCCATTTCTTGTGGTTGCTCCAGCCTCCACACTGCATAACTGGCAGCAGGAAGTTAGCAGATTTGTTCCACAATTCAAGGTGTGTGGAATTTCAGTGCACTGAAGAGATGCAAACATTTACTGTGAATGATGCTTCAAGCCTGTCTACTTCCCAATCATTGTAGAGCTTTCAGCATTCAATTGGAATGATTTTTATGTTGTCAAAATGAACCCAAGTTGAAAGTCAGTCAGATTACAGAACTAATTGTTTGAAGTGATTCAACTTCATTGGACAAATCAAACCAAAATGCTATAGTCAAATGTTTCTAGCTGTTGGTTTTTTTTAGCTTTGCTGAGGAGGGAAATGTCTCCTAACATAATGGAACTTATGTGGTTGTAATAATTTTTGCATCTGCAATTTAGTCATATTCTAATTTTCCAATTTCTCTTTTTTTCTATTCCATTTAGTTTTTTAATTTTTTATTCAATTTTTTCATTTTCCACCTATTAATTGCCAATTTCCAGGTGTTGCCATATTGGGGAAACCAAGGTGACAGAAAATCTCTAAGAAAATACTGGACTCAGGTACTTTATTTGTATCTTTGACAAGGGTTTTAAGCAATGATTAAGAATCAGTCAGTTAATTTATGATTTATTGATTTCATCTCAGTGTCACTACATTTTATTTTGCAAAGCTGCATTTTTATTTATTAATGATTGACACATTTTAAAAGCTCTTCAGCTTACTATTGGCATTGTGAGGAAAAAATTGAAGTCAGTTATTCAGAGAATTTTCTAGGTACACAAGCAGTATGCTGCTGCAAGCTCTAGATGAAAGCAACTCACCACCTGCAATGTTTCTTTTTTGTTTAGAACCAAGTTCATATAAATGACTACGAGAATGCACCATTCCATGTGCTTATAACAAGCTACCAATTGGTAGGTAAAACAAACAGCATGTGCCAAGTTTTGGTACAGGCTATGCTTAATGGTCAATAGTATTGCAACCATTTTTAAGTGACTGCTCACAAGAATTGTAATCAACAATGGGCAAACATGTGTGGTTAAGGAGCCATGGACAGACATGCAAACTGGAGCTGATTTTTACTGGCTTGACTACATGTATATAGCTGCCAAACTATGATATATGATAAAAGCCGCCTGCTTAGCTCAGGCTGGAGAATGCCAGACTGCTGTACAGGAAGTTGAGGTTTCAAATTTTAGACTGGACCAACATTCAGGGTCATATGATAACTGAGGAGAATGTCCTGCCATTGCCATGACATCAGCAAATGGTTAGACATTCTAGTCTACCTGATTAAGGACTATAGACAGTATTCCCTGTCTCCTGCATCTTGTCTGTACTCGTTAGGAGGGCTTGTTTAAGAACCCATGCAAAGAGTAGGGAAGGTAGCTCCTGATGTTGTTGTCTGAGCTCCAAAGTCCCCTGCAAAGTGTTGTAAAAGGCATTAGAGCGTATTTTGGATAATGCACTGTATAAATATCTCATCATTATCATCTCATAGTGAATGTATCGTTTTCGCGTGCTTGGTGAAATATGTGACTAACTAAAGAGTTAAAAAGCTGATGTTTCAAGCGTTAGCCCTTCATCAGAGCGAATGACGAAGGGCCAACGCTTGAAACATCAGCTTTTTAACTCTTTGCGTTGGCCAATTTACAATTTCAACTTAGTAGATATTACCAAATTACCAGGTTACCCCTGCTGACGAAGCACCACAGTTTCTTTGGAAACGTACCCCCTTTACTATGTGGCTAACTGATTGTTGTCTATTGTTCAGATTGTGCAGGATGTGAGGTACTTTCAGCGCATAAAGTGGCAGTACCTTGTACTTGATGAAGCTCAAGCAATCAAAAGTAGTGCCAGGTGAGAATTGTCTTCAAATGGCATTTAGAATAAGATGAAAACTGAATTATGCTTGCATTTTGATTGGGTCTAATTTAGGATCAATCAGAGGACAGACACATCGATGATGCCATCATGCAAAACAAATAGATTCCATGTTTCTATAGGACTGAACAGTAGTAGATCAATCGTAAAAGATGCCAAGATGTAACAGAACTTCAGTGACACTCTCAGCTGTCTCATGTGCCAATTTTTTGTTCTTACTTCTTGTCTGTGATCTATTGCTGTTTACTTTTACTGAACAGATGCATGGCAACATTTCATTTATTCAGTAGATGATAAATTCCTGTTTAGTTCACTTGCCCTTCACAACTTAAGTCAAAGTTTGTCTAATTTTATGATAACATTTTGCATTGTTCAACAGTGTGCGTTGGAAGATCCTACTTGGTTACTCATGCAGGAATAGACTCTTATTGACGGGAACACCTATTCAAAACAGTATGGCTGAGGTTAGTGTCATATCAGTGCAAGTACATTTGGGCACCTGCCACTAATTTTATGGCACGACTGTCCTAGGCATATCTTCTACTTTAAACGTTAATTTTCAGTCATTTTGTTGACCCACTGACCTCTAAGAATGACGCACATCTAATTTGATTTCTCTTCACAATAATTCCATCAACACCTTTATCTGTACATTTTTCAATGTAGTAAACTCTTTATTTATTGGGAGAACCCCTCTATAAAGCACTTTTTATTTTATTATGATATCACTCCTCAATCATACATTAAGTTCACAAGAATAAAGGAAATGATAACCAGCCCTAAGAGGCCCTTGATTTTGAAACAAATTCTCATCGTAAGCAGCCTAGGAAATGTAAAGAGAACAGTATGGAGAATATGCCAACTGTTGTTAGGATGTAAGGGTTAAAATGGTTATTTTGATTGTGTCGACAGACAATATTTGGGGTCCATTTGTCAGCACCTTGGCAAATGTATTAAGAACATTATGGAGAATAAGCATATGATGTGACGATGTAACGGGTTAGATAATAGATCTATCTCCACTTTATTTTTGTTACAGCTGTGGGCATTGCTTCACTTCATTATGCCAACTCTGTTTGATTCTCATGAGGAGTTCAACGAGTGGTTCTCGAGAGACATTGAAAGTCATGCAGAAAATAAGTCTGCCATCGACCAAGGTATTTCACAGATCAGTGGTCATTCTTCAAGTATTTTAGAGCTTACCACTTATTAGATATAGCAGTGGGAATGAGGAGAGGCCAATTTTTTAATAAGAATTTGATTGCGGACAGAATTGTCCGACAAGAGGTTCTGTTACCAATGAATCACATCTTATCGCATCGTATCTTGTCAAAATTTGAGAAATAAACTAGCCATATTGGGTATACGTTTTCATTAAAAGCATTAGTTAACTCGGCGAAATACACGGTATCAGAGAAAAATGTGAGGAGACATTTTGTTGAGTTTCTAAGAATAGATGTCAGTTGTTCCCTAAGAAGGAGTCTGGTGTTATTCGCTAGGCAAGTATCGAGAGAAGTTTGTGATTTTGTATCTGATAAGGTTATTGTTTTGTTGTTGTTGTTGTTGTTGTTGTTTTAAGACCAACTTTCAAGACTTCACATGATCTTAAAACCTTTCATGTTGAGGAGGATAAAGCGTGATGTAGAGAATGAACTTTCTGAAAAGGTAAAAGAGCTGTTTTGAACATGTATGCCCGAGTAACTAACCAATGATAGAGTTGTCTGTCACTCAAGTGGGTTTACTAACCCTTCGACGCCAAGGAGTGACTTTCATCTAATTTCTCTTGACGATATCGCTCGTGAATGAAACATTAAAGTCACAAGAATAAATGAAATGATCACCACCTGAAGGAGCTCTTGATTGTAAAACAAATTGTCCTTGTCAGTACCATAGGAAATGTATAGAGAATAGTATGGAGAATATGCATACTGATATTAGGGTGTCAAGGGTTACGTCTAAGAGTGGTTGTGATTTCCAGATTGAGATCAAGCTGGTTTGTCATCTGACTACAAGACAAAGATGGCTGTACCAAGCAGTCAAGAACAAGATTTCCATCGATGACCTCGTTTACACGTCAACATCTTCGTCATCCACCAACGCCACAACTAGCAGTCTGATGAACCTCGTCATGCAATTTAGGAAGGTAATCAGTGCAACATGATTCAAAGGAGTGTGGCAATGACAACCGCTGCTACAGAAACATGCTAGGAAAGGTTTTGAAATCGGAACTTGGGTATAGGTTGTAGCGAGTTTGAAACTAGCGAAAAGTCTGATGTTTTTTCTTTCTCTTTCCTCATCTTATTTTCCGCCACATTTACTTTTTTTGTTCTTCAGTATAGTTGCAACTCTTTGGTTTTTTCGTAGGAGAATTTTCATTAAAGGATAAACGCAACTTTTCCAATTTATTGTGCGCTATGAACTTAAATAAATGTTGTGTTATGTTAAGTGAAAAGTTTATGATTTGATGTGATACGTCGTTACGCTACGTTATGTTGTGGTATGTTATGTTACGTTATGTTGTTATGTTATGTTTTGTTATGTTGTGTCGTGTTACCTCGTGTTTCATTTTCTATAGTCAACAGATCGAAATGAGAGGAAAAAAATAATGAAAATTCTTTGGATACTTGAAATTTCTGACTAGCACTCACCTCTGTGAATGTTTTTCTTGTGTTCGTGTCAGGTCTGTAACCATCCTGAACTGTTTGAGAGAAGGGATGTTCGCTCTCCTATTCATGTGGAAATTCCATCATTCCATCTCCCTAAGCTTATCTACAGAGAAGGTACAATTAATGAACGGTCTGTAGTCAACCCTTTAATCTAATTTAGATCTGATTATTAATTCTCCCCTCCAACTGCTACACATTTCCTTGAAAATCAGTGACGAGAATTCGGTGTTAGATGAAGATAATAACTTCTACCTGATGAGTTTGAGTATTCTCATTACCTGTTTGGTGGATAATGCATGGGGATTATAGGGAGAAATTACATGTCAATCACCTCTGGGTGTTAAAAGGTTAACTTAGTGCTATTTGATAATTTGATGGCCTGCTCCCAGTTGGCTTGTTAGCTCAATTGGTAGAGCGCTGCACTAGTATCGCAGAGGTCAGTGGTTCGAATCCCGTACAGGCCTGAATTTTTTTCAGGTCTGATTTTCACTATTGCTTAAATAGTGCTTTACTGCGAAGGATCGTGCACATATACGTTAGTGCTATTGCCGAAGGGCCGGTTTTTAAGATTAGATACAAAAGCGTGTGATGATTACTAACAGGTTTGATGACACTTTGCTTGTGAAGAAAGTGTGATGGACTTTCAAAGAAGTACTTAGTTTTGAAATATGATACAACGTACTTGTTCTCTGCCGCTGTGGAACGTTCAGTCCTTGCTCTAAAGTAAAAAAAAAAGGGGGGGGTGTTCATGTTGAAGAGAAAGTATGCCATTTGTCTTTTTTGGCTTATTTTTGTTTATAACTTGCAATTTTTAGGCATCCTGGAGTCTTCGACACCAGGTAGAACGAAGTAAGTAAAGATTACCCGTGCGGGAGTTGTTTTAGCGGTAATTAATTTATTTCCTTTTATCGCTGTACTGAATTAAAGAAACCTTGGTGGCTTTTGTTTAGTCACTTGTAAAGCTTTTAAATCCGTTTTATTCAAACCTAATTGGTGCGTTTATTAGTGAGCCTCTCGTCACCTTTCTGCAAGACGACACCATGGCTGTCGATCATATAGCCAAAGAGATCACAAAATTTGATGTATGAGCAAGTTTTCCCAGCTTCTGTCACAAGAAATGTTTGGCAATCAGCTGGGAGAATTTATGTTTTGGGCCTGGTCAAATTATGTTGCCCCTTTAACTGAATCATAATTATATAATGTTTTCTGCAGAATCCTGTACAATCTGCTGAACATTGGATCTAAAGAGTACATACATCATTCTTTGTGCGATGGTCGCTCGTCAGGTAAGTAGCCTGTCAATTAAAGCTCTGTTGCAAGACCACTTTCAAGTCCTAAGGCCCGTTTGTTGGAAGTTGCAGTACCTTTTCGAGTTTACCTGTTCTGTTTTCTTTCAAGATGGGAGTTTAAAAGGTTTTGAAAATTATACGATAAAACTGTCAGCTGAAGAAATAAAATGGTTTGGTCAGGGAGCCAGAACCTACTTCTCTGTTCTTTAATTTTGATTCTAAAATATAGCTTCGGTCCCGTAAATTTACCGGCACTTTCGAGAAACTGGCCCCCGAAGGGTTGTGTAAAACCGGAAAAAAATAAACAAAAATAATTTTCTCTAGTTAAAACTGAAATCAATAGAATACTACCTCACGAATTTGTGTGATGTCACTTTGGAAGCACCAAAAGGTACTGTTTAAAGTATGCTTTTAAAAAGAAGGTTGATTAAACGGAGGTAACTTGGTGTCATCGACTGAGTTGATAATGTAAACTGGCCGCGCTAATAAAGTCGCTCTGACGAAGGGCTAGCGCTCGACTGGAACGTCAGCTTTGGAAAGCCTTGGTGGTGGCGGCCAATTAACATTATCAACTCAGTTGATAACACCAAATTATCTTGTAATACCCCTACCTATTCAGTACCACAGCCTCTTTAGAAACTTCACCCCCCTTTATTCATTTGTTGTTTTAAAAAATAGAACTCACTGCTATTGTATTCCTTCCATTAGAAATTCAAGCCTTGGGAAACGATTCATGCGATTTATGTTGTGTCTCTGTGTCGTTTTTTAGCAGGTCCTCCGAGTGACTGCTTTTCGTTTTCGAGATTTATCAATTTGTCACCAGCACAGTTGTCAGCTATGATGTTGAAGGGACTGGTATATAGGTGAGCTTTACAAATCTTTGAACCTAAACACTGTTGGTGAAATGCTACTAGCTTTTTTAGAATTTATAACTTTTTTTTTATATGCTTAAATTTGAGTACTTAACATTAGGAAGGCTCATTTGAGTTTATACATATATAAAGGTTTTCCCTTCATTGTAGTCGATGTTTTGTACACAATATTCTCGCAACGATACCGCGTGTAGTAAGCAAAGTACTTGCTAACATCGGTTAGGCACTGAGTAACTCGTTGATGATTCGCTAATTGTTTTTTATTTTCAAAATTTCAGGTTGTTCGCTTTAGTCGTGCTCTTAAAGGAGATAAGTAGTCTTCACCATCAACGATTTTGGGCCCAAGACAAGCCGAGGAATAGGTGGGTGTCGTAAGGCAATAAGTTTCCTCTTTTTTTTTTGTGATTGTACCGATGATTTTAGTAATATTTGTTCCAGTTGTGTACTTTAAGCTTCGCTCTCTATCTTTTGAAGGTGTTTGGGTCGGCACGATCTCATCTTGTGGCCAGACTATTCCACGTCCTTTCCAAGCATCCAGTCTAGTTCAGTCCTTTCGTCGCTGGTATTCACTGGCTACACCGCACGAGTGTCGTCCCACGTGACTCACAATGTTCATGCCATTTTGGACGATGACGATCGCAATCCTATAAGGAGCAAAGGAAAAGAGGCTCTCAGAGCGACGAGAACTCGACGGATATCTAGCAGTCATGCTGTATCGCCAACTTCCCCATCAAAGAGGAAAGATGGCCGACAGAGAGGCCAGCACCCACATCACACCGTCATATCCCCAACAGGAAAGGTCCCTCCTTCTCCTCTCAAACATTCCCCAACTGGGGCGTTCTCTCCTACTAAACATTATGGACACTCATTCTTCCCTGCGCAGCTGTCACCTTCCAAACATCATCATGGCGTACCGTCATCACCTTCATGGACTCAGCAAAATCCACACGGATTCCACCCGGGAGAGTTGCCAATAGGAGAGCACCATCCTTCGTCGGGACACGTGCCACCCACCCACCCAATACAAGGATCTCCTGTGATGCATTACCCGCCCGGACCTGGCGGAACTCCCTTGCGGTCTCCCAAGGGACTTGCATTAACCCCGTTGCAATCGCCACAAATGGTTCCTCCCACAGCATCTGCCCAGCACTCGCATCCCTTCTCACCCACGAGGTAGCGAAGAATAAATTGTTTTTGTTATTATTATTATTATTATTATTATTATTATTATTATTATTATTATTATCATTATTAGAAAAGTTTGCTTTATTTGATCAATATCACACATGTCCCTTTGCCTGATATGAGACCCATTAGTTAACGATGCAAGTACATTGAAATTTCCTGTGTTCTTTTTATCACAAACTCTTGTTAAAAATTGGAGGTGGCTTACGCAAAAAAATATCGTCACTTGCTACGCGTTTTCATCTTGTTTGTCAACAGTGTTTTTTTGTTTTGTTTTGGTTTTTTTCGCACTTCCTTGCCTACCAAGAATCAGTTCCAAGAGCCGGCTTTAACTAAGATCAAGAGCTGTGACGACTGATCTTAAACTCTTTGACCCCTAAGATTGACTAGCATCTAATTTCTCCTTACAATTTCACCCCTCAATCACACAGTAAGGTCATCAATGAAGACACTCTTGATTGTTAAACAAATTCTCCTTGTCAGCACCTTAGGAAATGTATAGAGAACAGTATGGAGAATATGCATACTGTTGTCGGGTTGTAAAGAGTTACCGGTTCTCATTCGCTTTATAGGCACGGTTCATCGTTGCTGATGAGTTTACCCGAAGGATTTCATCTGAACACTGCACCCAGTGTATATCCTATAGACAGAACACTGCAACCAACAACTCTGCCGCCATTTTTGTCGACATACATACCAAGGGTAAGTAAGAGTTACGAACGAGAAGCTGGTATGCCTGTGGTGAGATACGCGAAGTTAGCGTGTCTTTGAAGAAACTAATGGTATATTTGACTTGATGGATTAATTTAGGAGTTTTCAGGTGTCGAGTAAGTAATTTGATATGTTTTTCTTGATAGCTCTGACCATATCGAATAATTCAGTCTTCGTGCACAAAAGAATGAGGGGTGGTCTCCAAAACATTGTCTGACCGAAAAAGATAACGTAGCTGTGACTCCCCAAAAAGGAATAAAAGTACTTCCGTGATTAAAGTTAGATTGAGTGCGTTTTTATTTTTTTTTAGGGGTTTTTGTCTGTTTGATTTGACGTCGTTTATTTTACCCTACGAACACAATGATTTACTGACAGTGATCAACAAAAAGCATGTAATTTTACGAGTTCATGCAAGAGGCGTTCCCAGCGCGCGCGCTCGAGGATATTTCTAATTTCTTGAGCATTGTTACGTTGACAGTTATCGCGCGTCTTCAAGGGAAAGTTTTGAACGGTTGCATTTCTGACCCGTGGGCTTCTAAGCATAAAGTTCACCGCGTTTTACCGATTTGAATTTTCTGCAGATCAGACAGTAACAGTTGACAAACTTTTTCTTTCAAATACTGACGAAACAAAATTTTCCCTCACAACTCCAGGTAACGGCAGGGACCGATGTTTATCGCTGTAGTGATCGCAGTGCTGCGTACGAGATTCAAAACTTGTTACAGGGGGGTTCAGAACTGTACAGGAATCTCCTGATGTACGGCACTCCTGACCTTGAACACGTCAGCTACTTTAGGAAGCATTTGTTCCCGGCACCCCCTGGCGGACTGGAAGCTGCCACTCCTCAGAATGGATGGACCTTCGTGCAAATTCCAGGTGCGTCCACAAATTGTTTTGAATTCAATTACAATGTTTGTATATCCAGTTCACGGTATTATGACCGTGCTTTACTTAAGCTTTGAATAAACGGTCCTAAACTCTGATTGGTTGTTGTGATTTCGAGCGATTTTCAACTGAGTGTCGAAAGTAATCCGGACAGCATTGGCTTTACTTCGCTCTGTGATTGGTCCAGAAGACTCGTGCCACGTTTTCAACTAATCAGATGCAAAACTAAAATTAATCACGCCGTGGTCGGCCGCGTTTTCCCGCGCTTTAGACAATTTGGTTGTTTTTTCACTTTGACTTCCCATTAACTCTTAAGGATTACACTAGTTTTGCTTTACTTTGCTCTGTGATTGGCCCAGACAACTTCGCCACTCTTTCTATCAATCAGAAGAAACCTTAAAACCATTCACGACTTGGTCGCTTTCGTTTTCCCGCACTTTAGACAGTGTGGTTGTTGGTTTTACTTTGAGTTCTCGTTGACTCTTAGAGGTATTTTCCCTTGCCGTTGTGATCACTTCGGTTTTGGTTTTCAGTTTGACACGCAATCTAAAAGCGCTCTATCCGATTCTGGTTCATCGTTACTCAAACAGAGAGCGTTCTATTTCACCAATGAAAGTGCGAGCTGGTTTTTCTTGCAGACCGTAACTTACTGATCACAGACAGCGGTAAATTAACAGTCCTGGACGGACTGCTGACCAAACTGAAGATGCAGGGACACAGGGTGTTAATCTACTCACAGATGACGAAGATGATTGATCTTTTGGAGGTTGGTTTGTTTCTCTTGTATGGCGATAGTTCACAAATACATGAAAACTTTATTCGATTGGTTAAGTTATAGATTCGCGCGGAAAATTTCAAGTTGCGTAGTATTTTCCGAGACCCCCAACGGCGAGGACAAATAAGAGTAATGAGCAAACTGGCTGGTCTGCTTTATGTTACAGGAGTACATGGCTTACAGAAAGCATAAGTACATGCGACTGGATGGCTCATCGAAAATCTCTGACAGGAGAGACATGGTGGCCGATTTCCAGTCCAAGTAAGTAAATAGAGAAATAAAATAAACCGATATGCAGCAGAGACTTAAGTGTGGGGTTTTTTCGGAAGAAAAACAACAATAACATTAACAACAACAGCGACATTTACAGCAAAAACAACTTCAATGATATTAACAACATCAGCATCAACCGCATAAACATAAGGAACAACATGAACAAAAAGAACAACGAAATTAAGCCTTAGAGATCGAACCCGGGTCACAGCGCAGGGAAACGTACACTTTCACTTGCCATCCTTGCTCCCGCCAAATCCAAGATATCGTTTTACCAGTGTGTTTTATCCATGTGCCCTAACAGATCCTTAAGAAGCTTTTCCTGGACTTATACTCAACTCATGTTATAACACTTTTTTAGTTGATTCTCAAGTTTATTTTTATTTATATGGCTTGTCTGCAAAGTTATTGGTTTTTGTTTTAAACGAGGCTTCGATAGACGAATCAAACCTCTGATGATAAATACAAGTAGAAAGTGTATTACCAATTTTATAGCTCTATACAGCATTCGGAGGAGTGAAAACTCTTCCACCTCTTCTAATCTACTGAGGAGAGTTTGTACTCTCTTCTCAAATGGTAAAGCATTTCTCTTTCAGTGCGGACATATTCGTGTTCTTATTGAGTACCCGAGCGGGAGGTCTGGGGATCAATTTAACTGCTGCAGATACGGTAAGACAACAAACAGCAGTCATCACAAAGTATAATCAGTTGTCTACACGAGCACTTTCTGTGTGTTAGAAAAACTGCGGTGCAAATCTTTTTGTAACAATATAAAAAAGTGACACAACTTTGCATGATTTGACCATTTTAAAAGCAGTTTAACCCTTCTACACGTGAACATCAGCAAGCATATTCTCTATAAAATTCACTCGTCAGGTAATGAATTTTCCTATACTGTTCCCTAGATTTTTTTAAGGTATTGGCAAGGAGAATTTGTTTAACACTACAGAGTTTCTTCAGTAGGTGACTATTTCCTTTATTCTCCTGACCGCAATGTGTGATTCAGGAATGATGTTGTGAGGAGAAAAGAGTTGCTAGTCTCTTTCTTGTATGTACTGACTGCTTTATCTCTTGGTTACTTTTCCTAGGTAATTTTTTACGACAGTGATTGGAATCCTACAGTCGATCAGCAGGTAAGCTAAGGTGTTGTTAAGGAATAAAGCCTTCCTTAAAAGCTTTTATTCTTTTGAAACGGGTTAAGGTCCAGTGTAGTTAACTAAGTTGTGTGAATGTTGAAATTGATGGAGCTTTTAGTATGTAAATTTTACTGAAGCTGTAGTATTGTTGAAGTATAGCAGTTGCTGTACTATCTGTTTATCGTAAATAATAGAAAAAGACTCGTAATGTATTACGCAGTTTATCTTGATAATATTTGTGGTGGTGGTGTTTCAATGTAAAAGTGCTTTTGTCCGGAACAGCATTATCATGAAACAAGTAAGGTATCAGTATGATCAATAGAATTGCTTTTGATTTGAAAGAGTATTACTATTACTTTATTGTAGTTGAAAAATGGGAATAGTATGGAGTGATTACACTGTATTGTGAAGAGTAGAAAAAGACATCACCTACCTTAAACCTGCAGAGGCTCTTTTTTTACGCGAGACGGTCATGTCGTGACACACGAGTTGCGTGACACAGCTCATGGCACAGGCTCTAATCTTCCTTGTTAAGTGTAAAGTGGAGCGCAAGAAGTGCTTGTTTATTTGATTCACACTTCAGAAGGATACTTGCATGGTAAAGCCAAAGAGAAGAATCAACTAATATCACAGGTTTTTTCAAGAGAAATGAGATGCCCGTTTTGAGCAAAGTTTTGTTTATCTAGTATTTTCTGGTGTGCAGGCTATGGACCGCGCTCATCGCCTGGGGCAAACTCGACAAGTGACCGTGTACAGACTGGTGACTAAGGGTTCTATAGAGGAGAGGATTCTTCACAGGGCTAAAGAGAAGAGTGAGGTTCGTATTGTTCTAACGTCGTTCGAAGAAAATTGCAAATCAGAGTCACTCGATCATCAGAGGTAAATTGACCTAATGAACTCATTCGATGGATCTGATTTTATTCCTTTCAGATTCAGAAAATGGTGATTTCCGGCGGGCATTTCAAGCCTGAAGCTCTTAAACCCAAAGAAGTGGTATCTTTGCTCCTTGACGATGCCGAACTGGAGTGCAAATGTAAGTCTGTGGAACTGAAGGGGTATGAAAAGTATCGCTGCTGAGCTGACTTGCGCATTGTCTATGATCTCCACAGTTCTTCAGCGGCAAGCCGAAAAGAAAGCTGACGAACAACGGCGAAGAAGGGAACGAAAACGAAAGAAGACGGCGCCGGTTGAGGTTTGTATCTAAACTTTTCTTACCAAATTTGTCGCCTGCTAAGACTATTTTGATCGTTATTCGTTTCATTACTATGACTGTAAACTGGGGCCTGAGTCACCTTATGGCTTGTTTCCTGAGCTCCGGATTTGTGCTGTGGTCAGGTAATTGTGTTGAGATCTTTGGTAGGAAACTGTTTTCACTCTGTCCTCCATGGATTCAAGTGGTCCGAAAACCGTCCTCATCATCATATTTGTGGGTTTTTTTACTTCTTGTCTGACACAAATACTTATATCGGCAGAATCGTATGTTACTGTTCAATGTAGAATACCAAGAATTTCCCTATCTTGGAATATTTCTAAGCTTATTTTGGTTCTAGGGAAAAAAAA